CTCACAGACTGTAAGTACGTTTCCATATTTAAAGAATTTGCCACTGATGATTCAAACGCGAGTTTTGAGCAGTGTAGAGTAGCGCTTGTTGTTTGTCATTTCTCCGATCACAAATGCAGACATGGTTTTATGTTTACGCGGCGCGATGCAACGCAACGCGTAAAAAGACAGTATAAGTCATTATAATCCGTAATTATGTCCCCACTGGATGCAACAAATGCCCGGTTTATAATGGGTTTTAATGTTTTTGAATCGTCGCTGGACAGGGCATCACAGTATGGTAAGGGGCGTAACATTTCCGTCACATGCTTGAGGTATTCGGCCAATCACAATGCACTGGATAGCTGGCCAATCAGAGCACACCTCGCTTTTTCAGACCGATGAGCTTTGTAAAAACCTACGCGTTTCTGAAAGGCGGGGCATAGAGGAGAAACAATACTGTACAGTATGTGGAAAATATTGTGTTTTTTAACCTTAAACCGCATAAACACATTTCATTACACCAAATACACAAAATAATGTTCTTTTTTAGCAACATCATATGACCCCTTTAATACGTTTCTGTGTTTTTTTCCCCGCAAGCTTAAGTGGCTGTTTTTCTCCCTTTTTGGCTTTTGTAGTATTTATGTATGTTCACTGTTTTTGCTTGAATTGTCTTGTTTTCCATAATTATTAAACATTTTTCATTTTATCTGAAATGCTATGATAGGCTGTTTATTGTGACAACTTAGCCCATATAGTATGACAACATGCCCCAATATGCCTCAGAAAAGAAGAAACTTGTGTTCAGTGAACTATGACTCTTTTCCAGGACAATAACAATGAAAGTGTTCAATAGTAGCTTTTTAAATTTATTTATTTTTAGTTAAGACTTAAAAGTATGTGCAAATATAGAAATTGACTTTCAAAAATAAATATATCACTGTGATATAATATAGATGCTGGAGTTAAAAATGTGAGAACTAGCCCCACCAGGACCGGTGTGGTGTGTTTTCTGCAGCAGCTGATCGGGGAACTAGAGCATAGAGACTCAGCAGAGGCTGGAGAGCAGCCAACAGCAGGTGAAAAACCCCAGACTCTGGCCTGCATGCAGCGTTACACACTACAGTAAACCACCTGCTCAGTCCACAACTGATGACCGTAATGGAGAGATACTGTACGCACATGACTCATCTAATGGCATTCGACTGCGTGCGCCCAAAGCCAGAAACAAATACGCTTGTTGTCTTTTCTTTTGGAGGGATTCATTTACGAATCCTCCCCAAATGCTTTCAGTTCATTTGAGTCATTCTCGGTTTCCCGCTCTACATGCCAAAGAGCTGCGGGTATGTTTTCTCAGGGGTTTCTCTGCGAAGATCTCTGGCAGGTTAGATCAATTAGGGAGTGAATATAGGGGTATTTAAACACAGTTCTGCTCATCACTTCATGTTATTAGTAATCTCAGCCCTGGCTCATGTGGATGATTATGTTACATAATACCTGTTGTTATTCATTTGAGTCATTCTCGGTTTCCCGCTCTACATGCCAAAGAGCTGCAGGTATGTTTTCTCAGGGGTTTCTCTGCGAAGATCTCTGGCAGGTTAGATCAATTAGGGAGTGAATATAGGGGTATTTAAACACAGTTCTGCTCATCACTTCATGTTATTAGTAATCTCAGCCCGGGCTCATGTGGATGATTATGTTACATAATACCTGTTGTTATTGCCTGCTCTAAGTGCGTTTGATGTGTGTGTGTGTGTGTGGGTTTGTGTGCCTTGCAGTTGCCATGCAGCAGCGCTGAGCTGAAAGCAGTAAGCTCTCTCCTGCTCTCATCTGAATTACCTGTCCACATTGATTAGAGGGACTACGCGTGAATGGGATCTTAGATTTTCTAGCCTTCAGAATTAAGATAAGCCTCTCTGTAGTTACACTCGGTTGACCCTCCTTTAGAGTGACACACCTGCAGCTGTGGGGCCTTTAGACTCACAAATAACCAAGGGTCTCGAACCGTTCGACTAACTAGCTCCATGCCTGTTGTTTTCCCCGTTTCTCTCCACCTCGTGCACTCGGCTGTCTCTTTCCAACCACTGCTTCCCCAAATCCTCATCTGCTTCACAGAATCCCTCATTACCAGCATCCCTGCACTGGGGGAAAAAAAGTATTTTTTGTCTTGTTTTACAGTAAAAATATTAAAAATGTACAGTAAAAAAAAAAAATGAACTTGAGAAAATATATGATAATATGAGTAAGACACTAAGTTACATTTTCTTACCTTATTGACAAATAGTTTTTTCTTTAACAAGTTTTTTGTAAAATTTAAGCTTGAAATGACACACCTGCAGCTGTGGGGCCTTTAGACTCACAAATAACCAAGGGTCTCGAACCGTTCGACTAACTAGCTCCATGCCTGTTGTTTTCCCCGTTTCTCTCCACCTCGTGCACTCGGCTGTCTCTTTCCAACCACTGCTTCCCCAAATCCTCATCTGCTTCACAGAATCCCTCATTACCAGCATCCCTGCACTGGGGGAAAAAAAGTATTTTTTGTCTTGTTTTACAGTAAAAATATTAAAAATGTACAGTAAAAAAAAAAAATGAACTTGAGAAAATATATGATAATATGAGTAAGACACTAAGTTACATTTTCTTACCTTATTGACAAATAGTTTTTTCTTTAACAAGTTTTTTGTAAAATTTAAGCTTGAAAAAAAAATTATGGGGTCGACATATATTTGTTTTACAAATAAATATTTTTATTAATCAAGGACACATTAAATTGAGCAAAAGTGACAGTAAAGATTTTTCAAAAAATTATATTTCAAATAAATGATTTTCTATTCAATAATAATCCTGAAAAAGAATATTATATGGTTTCCACAAAATATTAAGTAGAGCAAACATTGATAATAATAAGAAATGTTTCTTGAGAAGCAAATCAGTATACTAGAATGATTTCTGAAGGATCATGTGACACTGAAGACTGGAGTAATGATGCTGAAAATTCAGCTTTGCCATCACCGGAATAAATTACATTTTAAAATATATTAAAATAGACAACAGACATTTTGAAATGGAATAATTCTTCACAATATTGCTGTTTTGTTGCATTTTTATTTAATAAATGCAAACTTGGACACATTAAAAACCATAAAAAGATATTACCAACCCAAAACTTCAAAGATGTTTGCTTACTGTGTATCCTGACCTGCTGGTCTGAACCGCTCCACCTCAAACAGAAGGGCCCTGCAGCCAGTTGTAAAAATGACCGAGTCCATTACTATTTTCCGACTATTATGGACACCTAAACTGGGAGGTATAAAAGGAAACCTAGCGGCATCAGGAAGGATTCGTCTCCCTCGTCCCATTGTATGTTCACACTCCCACCATCTGGAACTCTATCAAAGTGGACTTTAGACTTTCAGAGCTAAATTACAATTTAAATTCAGCTGATTTGCCATTAAAGCTGAAGTGTGCAATCTCTTTGATGTCAAAATAATTTCTTCATATACACAGACATGTATGAGAAACTATGAGTAAGCCATTTTTTTACTCTTTCCCCGCCACCGTAAAAAAAAACAAAAAAACATTTTTGATCATTTTCACAAAATGTTCATGGCCCCCAAAATATTTTGTTGTTTGAATATCTGAATATGTCAAAAGAAAGAACAGCCTCTGCTTTTAAACAACAACAACAACAACAAATAAAACTTTTTATTCTAGCTTCATGCATTCTGTTTTTATCAACACTTGACTCTGTGTAAGTTTCATTAAAAAAAGCAACATTTTGAACAAAAAGCTGAGAAAACCATGTTTTTGTCAAAGAGTGCATTTGGATCAGATTCAGATCGTTGATCAATAGATCATCAATAGATGGAATAAATTGCTTCCATCAAGTTCTTCCACTTCCATCAAGTTGCTTCCACTTCTTGTATCGACATTTCATTCGGCAACAATAGGCAGTTTTGATTTATATAATGATTAATGTTTGATAATTGCATTGTTTTACATATGCATCTGCTTACACCTGTGATCGCTTGTTTCTGCTTCTTCTTCACCATGTTTTCTTACAAAATATGTTTAATATCGCCCCCTACTGAACACCAGTGAAAACGCGGAAAGACGGAAACTTCCGTCAATGGCGGGGAAGCGTTGTCTCATAAATTACAGAAAATTCTGTCAATGATGGGTAAAGACTTAAGAGGATTTCCCTGAAAAATGTAAAGACGATTTGTGGCACTAATATACAATAGCATTAACATATGAGCATCCTGACTAGCCCAACACTGCCTCAAACTATGGCATGCGTTTTGGACCGGACTGTCTGTTTTGCAACCTTAGAAACCTGTTTGAAAAGTGTTATTTTGTTTGCTCAAGCTAGTGGAACATAAAATGCACTTTAGCTCTAAGTTAAAAACAGCTAATCTTATTCTGCAGTTCTTTAAGATTTAGCTACTATTTCTTTCAGATGTTTTGTGGTTTTCTCATTCAAGACAATCCCTTAGTGGCTAGCGCCACATTTCCGATTTCATAACAATGAACTGGCTCTGGAAGAGAATGAACATGCATGTGACACTAGAGGCCGGTGGCAGGAAGTGCCTTGTCATTGTAATTCACATTCAGTCAGGAGGTGAGGAGTCGCAAGTGCTATTGTTCTTCCTCCTCTCGTCTTCCTGCTCATCAGAGTCCAGCAGTGGCCACTTCTTCTGCTATTATTGTCCATTTGTAAGCCATTCATTCCCAAAGGGGTTGCACTGAAGAGCTTTATTGTCTGCTTTCAAACTTGGCACAGTAAAATTAAAGTGTCTTCTTAAAGTGGTTTTCTTTCCGTACTTATCGTTGCTTAATCCCTGCGTAATCCCATTGTTTTCCTACCGCCAATCCCAGGGGCCTGGCGACCCTAGACACTTTGCTTTGTTGGCTCCTTTAATACTCCAGACCAGGGGTGGCGAACTCCGGTACTAGAGAGCCGCAGCCCTGCAGAGTTCAGCTCCAACCCTAATTAAAACTCACCTGCCTGTAGCTTTCTAGTAACCCTTCAGACCTTGAGTCGCTTGGTCAGGTGAGCCAGACTGAGAACCAGCCACCACACGCTCTTCAGAACTGTTGAACTGGATACACTCCACAGGGCTGGTGTGGCCCGTCAGACTCTACAGAACAGACATACACTGCATCAAATAGCTGCGAGACACTTATTTCTCAAAACAAATAACAGAGAGGGTTTTACCATAATGCAGTTTGGTTTGCTGACAGCCCAGATATTGACTCTGCAGTCCTCGCCGCCAGTGGCCAGCAGGCGACCAGATGCCTTCCCCAACACCAGTGAAGACACATTGCTGGAATGAGCCACAATCTCCTCTGAACAACACATGACAAAATAAAAGCCAGTCACATTTACCACAACTTCAGAGATCTTGACTATTTAAAACATTCTGCTGTCTCATGACCAGGAACTTTATACTCACGCAGTTTCCATGATGTTATAATGGTGTTGGTGAGAGCCATTGTGATGATCGTGTGATTGAGTCAACTCACTCTGCTCATGTCACCAACACATAAATGTTAGGGATGTGATGGTTTTACATTACATTCTCGGTCCATCTCTTAAAATGAAAGAGTTCAAAGACAGACGAAAAGCAGAGTAAATATGCTGAGCATAATGATCACTCTGAACTTCAGGAGACACCTCTATGCCAAAAAGTGTCCCTTTTCAATCACTTCTGGACATATCACATTCTGCTATTAGTTAATGAATGAATACATCTTAAAGCTTAGATTATAGTTGTATTATGAACAATTGCCTGTGTCTATAAAGAACAATGTGTGAGGGGCAAAATCTAAGATAACAAAACTGATACATAGGCCTACAGCCTATTTTTTTTTAAGCTGCAACATGAGACTTCATCCTCGACCTTTCATGACTGGCTTTTAAAGTACAGGTCTAATATGGGTGACATTTGATACAGATACAAGACACAAAAAGTTGTCTTTTTAAACCATTTCATGAACTTGCTTAACTTTTTATTGGAAGTAAAACAACTTTTTACAAAATCCCAACTTTTCTCTTGAAAACATCTCAAAACACATTTAATGAATGGCTATGTTCTTCTTAATTTCATCTGAATATCTACATTTCTGTCATTTAGTCAGTCAAAAGTCTTAAAGTTAATTGATGTAATGTAATAAAAGTAATAATGTAATAAAGTAGGGATGAGTCACGATTTTCAAATATTCGATTAGTTCAGGGGTGGCGAACTCCGGTCCTAGAGAGCCGCAGCCCTGCAGAGTTCAGCTCCAACCCTAATTAAAACTCACCTGCCTGTAGCTTTCTAGTAACCCTTCAGACCTTGAGTAGCTTGTTCAGGTGTGTTTGATTAGGGTTGGAGCAAAACTCTGCAGGACTGCGGCTCTCCAGGACTGACGCTCCAGACAGTCCTAGAGAAGGACGGCCACATGTTTTTATTAGAACCGAGAGGGTTGGTCAGATTGTCCACGTTACCTTCGCAGGGTGACCGTAAATCCCTGAGGAATACACAGAGATTCATGAGGTCTGAGAATAACAACTTCTTAATTGGAATCATTTAGTCCTGATCACCGTCCTCATTAGCACCATTTGTGCATGGCGATGTCGACTCATTCTTTTATTGCCTTTCACTGCCTCTTCCTTTCCCTCCGGAAATGTACAATTATCTTTCGTAAATGAATTCTAGGAAACACGGCCAATCGCGAGCCCGGTAGCCTGCGCCACCCTCTCTTGGTTTGCCGTATCATCGCAACATGCGCACACATGCGGCTTTATCTGTCCTTTGCATGCACATACATCTAGGTCAGGAGGAGGTTCAAAACATATGGCTCTTCTCATGTTCGCCTACCTCTAATCCCCGTAATCCATTATTTGTCATGCTTGAAGTGCAGGGTTCGTATTGGAAGTTCAGGAGGAAAAGAGGATCAGGGCAGGTCTGAGAACAGAGCTAGAGGCCTCAGCAGCTGCCGTTATCTGATCAGAGGCGACATAACCTTTTGCACGTACCTACGAGGCTTGAACCGCATCCCTGAGGCTGCCGCTGCTCCTCTCTTCATGCGTAACATACATCTGCCGGCACTCACTGTGATGTACTTGTGCTGTTCTATTAAAAGCTGTCATGAACCGTGACTCCTCTGTGTCAGTCATGACTCTTTATAAATGCACATGTGATGGGGGAAATGTCATTTCTCCTGTGTAGTTGCATTAGGGCTGTCAAGCAAGCACTAATTTATTTGTGATATGTCATTTATTAAGCTGAATTAATTGAATTTATATCTGCAAGACTTTACAGTATGGTTCAATTCGTTAGTTCAAGTCATTACTTATTGCAGTAGCTAACATGAGATAACAGCATTTGTAATTTCTTCATATACCTACTTTTCATATACCTATGTATTTATAATTTAGCACAAGTTTATATATTATGAATGAACATGAATTAATACTGAGCAATATTTATAAATTAACAGTAACCTACATTAAAGGGATAGTTCACCCAAAAATGTAAATTCTGTCATCATTTATTTACCCTCATGTCGTTCCAAATCTGTATGAGTTTCTTTTATCTGTGGAGAATAAAGATATTTTGAAGAATGTTGGTAACCCAACAGTTTCAGTTGCCGCCGACTTTAATTGTATTTTTGTTCATATAATAGAAGTCAATGGGAACCAAAACTGTTTTGTTACCAATATTTATTTATTTTTAAATACATAATAAATACATATTTAATTTAATTTAATTTAATTTAATTTAATTTTATTTTATTTTAGAGTTGAATTGATCAAAAAGAAAGTCATGCAGGTTTAGGTAGTGTCATGATCAGGTAGAGTAAATGATGACATACGTTTCATTTTTGGGTGAATTGTAATAAATGCTGAAAAGAATTGTTGTTCATTGTTAGTTAGATAGCTAATGCATTCATTTGCTTACAAATAGGACCTTATTGTAAATTTAGCCATATATTAAAGGAATAGTTCACCCAAAAATGAAAATTCTGTCATTAATTGACCATTCGCAAAGAGCTTGATTGACAGGTGATCTGACCAATCATAGCGCCAAATCCGCCGTCTTGTCCGACAGCTACGACCAGAAACTAACAATAAATTACATTTTCTGCCTATTAGATTGTTTTATTAACATCTACACCTACCCAACCCTAAACAATAATGCAAAAATAGTAATTGTTATTGTACAGTGTGACAAAAATTATGCTATATTGATGTGTGCATGCCTAGTAGCTGCAGCTGTATCCCAACCACAAATCAGACAGGAGAGTAGATTAACTTCGCTGGACTTAAACTTGAAAAATGGTGGGTTCCACGGTTGAAATAAAATACATTCTGATGTTCATTCATTTTCATTTCATGCTTTAAGTAAATATGTAAAGACGATCGGTTCACGTGCCGCTTTAACTGAGGCAATACAGTGATCTATCATTAAAGGGCCACAAAACGGTATTTATTGTTTGCATTTCTTTAAATCCGAGAGTCCTGAGACCTTGTTTCATACCAGAAGTAACCTGCTGAAGTAAGACCTTTGTTCATCTTCTGAACACAAATTAAGATATTTTTGATGAAATCCGAGCACTTTCTGACCCTGCATAGACAGCAAAGGAACTACCACGTTCAAGGCCCAGAAAAGTAGTAAGGACATTGTTAAAATAGTCCAGCCAGAAGCATACTGTCTGAGGTTGACGTTCACACAAAATACAATTGAATTCCCTTTTACTCATTTTACTTATTACTATTTTACTCATGCAAGACCAACTCCTGTCTACTTCAGTGGGCAGCTTCTGAAATCTCGAAAACCGCTTGCCAAATTTACATTCAAATAACATATTTAAAATCAGCAATAAAATCTGACCTAAACTGTCCTATAAATGTTTTTTTTTTTTTTTTCAGGCTGGTCCAGCCAGCGTGCATGAGCAGTCCCAAATGAGCATTTCACAACACTGAAACCAGAGCTTCAGTGACACGATGCCTTTACATACTGGCGATTGGCAAATTTTTTATTTAAAAGCAGACCCATTCTGCCATATTGCCATATATTAATGTGGTTTTTGTCTGTGGTCTTTTTTTAATAATTTTTTTTAATACACTTGCATATTTATGTCTTTGGCTGTTTTCTTGCTGTTCTTATATTGTCTTGTGCTATGAATGCAGTATTTTTCACAGTACTGTGTTAAGTGAAAACTGTTTTCGATTGTATAGTAATTCGCCCATCCTTTTTATGAAGCGGAGAACACACCCTGTGTGATGCTTTCTGCTTGTTCAAACTGCAAAAATAAAGTAGAACTTCAAGATTGAATTTCTATAATATAATTTACAAGAGTAGATTAACTTCGCTGGACTTAAACTTGAAAAATGGTGGGTTCCACGGTTGAAATAAAATACATTCTGATGTTCATTCATTTTCATTTCATGCTTTAAGTAAATATGTAAAGACGATCGGTTCACGTGCCGCTTTAACTGAGGCAATACAGTGATCTATCATTAAAGGGCCACAAAACGGTATTTATTGTTTGCATTTCTTTAAATCCGAGAGTCCTGAGACCTGGTTTCATACCAGAAGTAACCTGCTGAAGTAAGACCTTTGTTCATCTTCTGAACACAAATTAAGATATTTTTGATGAAATCCGAGCACTTTCTGACCCTGCATAGACAGCAAAGGAACTACCACGTTCAAGGCCCAGAAAAGTAGTAAGGACATTGTTAAAATAGTCCAGCCAGAAGCATACTGTCTGAGGTTGACGTTCACACAAAATACAATTGAATTCCCTTTTACTCATTTTACTTATTACTATTTTACTCATGCAAGACCAACTCCTGTCTACTTCAGTGGGCAGCTTCTGAAATCTCGAAAACCGCTTGCCAAATTTACATTCAAATAACATATTTAAAATCAGCAATAAAATCTGACCTAAACTGTCCTATAAATGTTTTTTTTTTTTTTTTCAGGCTGGTCCAGCCAGCGTGCATGAGCAGTCCCAAATGAGCATTTCACAACACTGAAACCAGAGCTTCAGTGACACGATGCCTTTACATACTGGCGATTGGCAAATTTTTTATTTAAAAGCAGACCCATTCTGCCATATTGCCATATATTAATGTGGTTTTTGTCTGTGGTCTTTTTTTAATAATTTTTTTTAATACACTTGCATATTTATGTCTTTGGCTGTTTTCTTGCTGTTCTTATATTGTCTTGTGCTATGAATGCAGTATTTTTCACAGTACTGTGTTAAGTGAAAACTGTTTTCGATTGTATAGTAATTCGCCCATCCTTTTTATGAAGCGGAGAACACACCCTGTGTGATGCTTTCTGCTTGTTCAAACTGCAAAAATAAAGTAGAACTTCAAGATTGAATTTCTATAATATAATTTACATACAGATCAGGGGACATCTTAATAAAATAATGCTTCATTTTAATTTAATAATATAATTTTTGTTTTATATTAATAATACTATATTTAAATTATTTAAATATTTCAATTACTATTATTTATTTGTAATTATTTATTTTGTAATAATAAAATGGTTTTACATTTTTTGATACATTTTTATATGAAATATCAGTACTTGACTGGCATTCCAAGAGACTGTGAGACATCTTGA